ACCCCCACCCCCAGCCTGCTCAGCGCAAAGCTGAGGGCAAAGACCTTTATCGCGACCCACTGTCACACGGGAATAGTGAGCTGGTTAACTCGCCCACAGGGTGTGTGGTGCAGTGGGGAGAGCCTACCTAGCGGCGGTGACAAGCCTGCCGGACACTTCTGTGCCATCGTCCCGCTGCCCCGGTATCCACCGCGTAGGACATCGTATGAGAGCCTGTCCTGAAGTGGAGAGCCTGCTCCCTTCCACAAGCATGAGGTGAGTGATATTTAATACAAAATTTAAAATGTGTTCTTCTTCCTGTTTCATAACTTTGCTTCCAGAGAATCACATGACCATACAGTACACCCGTCTCTGCTGGAGGAGCTGTGTGCCAGCCCACCCCCGTGCCTGGCTTTGTTAGATGTGAGGTGTTTTCTGTGCTGTGTACAATGACTCCTTTACCCGCGTCTAGGCTGGGCAACATGGCACTGCCAGCTACGGAGGCTGCTAAAGCAAGCAGCTCGCTCCTGCTCTATTATGAATGCACTAGAGGCCCGGCGCACAAATTCATGCACCAGTGGGGTCTCTCGGCCTGGCCTGTGGGATCAGGCCAAAACCAGCTCTCCGACATCACCCAAGGGGCCCCAGATTGCAAAAGGGTGCAGGCCAGGCCAAGGAACCCCACTGGTGCACAATTGGGGTGGGGAAGGACCACGGGAGGGCTCCAGGGCTCAGTCCCCATCAGCCGGACCCCAGCAGCAAGCTAACCTACCCGTTGGAGCGTCTGCCCCCTGGTGGTCAGTGCACGTCATAGCGAGCAGGTAGGTAGCTTTAGCATATCATTAGCATATTAAGCTTTGATTGGTTGAACAGCTGACCAGTCGACTGGACACTTAGCATATTAGGCTTTTATTATATATGATGATTGGTCACAATACGGATAAGTATACATAAGTTTCTTTTTCGTGTTCTTATTTTTGATATCTAGTGGTAACAGCATGTGTAGCCCACACCATGTCTATGTTACGGAGAACAATGTGTAGAACAACTCCCCTGTGCGTGGAAGGGGGCTCTGCGGCAGCCCTGAAAACTTCGGGGCAGATGAGGGCGCCCAGGAGGCTCTGACCTGCACTCTGATGGCCATCAGCATGGGGGCCCGTCTCAGGCCTTTTGCTTTCTTAGCAAAGGTCAGTAGTCACCTGAAGCGAGCCCTGTCCATGTTTCCTGTGCATCTAGAGTGATATATATTTTTTTAATATATTTTATTGATTTTTTACAGAGAGGAAGGGAGAGGGATAGAGAGTTAGAAACATTGATGAGAGAGAAATATCGACCAGCTGCCTCCTGCACACCTCCTACTGGGGATGTGCCCGCAACCAAGGTACATGCCCTTGACCAGAATCGAACCTGGGACCTTTCAGTCCGCAGGCCGACGCTCTCTCCACTGAGCCAAACCGGTTAGGGCTAGAATGATATATTTTTTAATGTCAGAGTAATTCTCTTTTCCAGACCCCACGGAGGCCCACGGCAGCACCGGGCAGACCGGGGAGCAGACCACAGAGGCCCTCCTCGTTGCCTTCCCCCAGGAGCAGCTCTAGTGACTGTTAATGCTGCATGTTAACTGTGCTGGGCCCACGGTGTGAACAGGCATGTGCCTCCATTTCCCGTTTACCCCTGTGCTTTCTCCTGCTCCTCGACCTACCCCAGCGATCTCATGGCGCCTTCCTTATGTTTTCTCCTTTGATTCCAATGTAGAAAGTAAACTGCTAAACTGCCATTCTGTGGAGCACTTTCTCAGTCCTTTGAGAGCTTGCTCTGGGTCAGTCCTCAAAATTTGGCTTACATAAATGTATAAAATTGTTGTATAGGTGTGGATGTTCTTTCATGGACATTTACTTGCATAGCCACCAGGATTACAAAAACACCCCTGAGACCACCCTGTGGATCTGGACCCGGCACTGGGTACCAGCAAGGACCCCTGTGCCCATGGCCCCTCACATCAGGTGAACCAGGTGAGTTTCTCTGGGCCCCTGGGCCTCCCTGCTGAAAGTGGTGGGTCCTGACTTTAGTCGAGCTGTCATTAGAAAACCCTGGAGGTGGCAATAAAGGATAAGGGAGAAATGGGCGGCTGCTTTTAATTTCGACTTTTCAATTGGAATCGCTTACGGAGGGTCTGAAAAAAATATTTGCTAAGTTAAATGAGAGACTGAACGCTCTGAAGAGAGAGGACACTTTCTCCTCCACCAGAATCTCGTTATTCCTGGGCGACTAAGATCTTCGTGGAGGCACCTGAGAAGGTAGGGATCCCCACCACACCGATATATAAAAGGCTAACATGCTAAGTGTCTGACCGTCTGGGTAATGACGTCACGTAGCAACGCCGGCTTCTCTCTAGTGACTAGCCTCCTTGCAGTTTCATCAGCCCAGGAACACAACTTGCTTTATAGCCAGGTGCAAACATTTCACACTTTAACCAAATGTCTGTGAAGCGTTTTCCCGTGCCTCATCTCATTTGATCCTCACAGAAGTCCTGGAGTAGGTAGATAGGAGACTCTGTGGAATCCTATTTTCTTCTCATTAGCCGGAAAATGGAGATTTAGAAAGCTTAGAAACTTGACCTGACTGAAAAGAAGTAAGAAATGGTGGACCTTGAAAATGACTTCAGGTTTTCTCACTGCGCAGAATATAGTCAAACACTGCTGCAGTTAAATATTTTACCCTTTGTTCTCCCTGTGTGATCTACAATAATAATCTGCTTCATGTTGATATTTACTGCTGTGTTGCTGACAATTACCTGAAAGAGAAGTTGGGGTGCTTCACTGCGCTGGAAAAAGTTTAGCTAAATCAGAAAGCAGGTCTAATTAAGCAAGGTCATTCTACATATTTGAAAGGCTAAGTTGCCTCGCGCCTGCCCGATACATATAAAGCTCTCGCTGGCGCCAATCAGACATGTGTGTTTCCATCTGTCATTGTTGATCGTGAATTTGGTTGACACTGCTATTATAGAGAAAGGGCGAATAGCGATATTAAAATATTTCTTCTAATTAATTTCCTTTCAATGTGCACAAATCCGTGCACCAGGCCACTAGTTAATATGGGCTCACCTGGAATGTGCATGTCAAGGCTGTTCATCTGGCTCTGAGTCCTCACAGTTGCATTAGGCAGCTTTGGGGGAGAAACTGAGACACGTAAGAGGGTTCAAGCAATTTGGGAGGTGACAGCCCCTTGGAATTTAACCCACAAGCATCACATTTCAACCCACCACATCCTATCCCTAGAAGTTTGTTCGGACTCTGCAAATCTCAAAATAAAGCTAAAATTAAAATGGGAATTGTGCCTCCAAGGCTGAATAGCCCCAATATGATCAACCTCATTAATACTCCTGCAAGTTTTATGTACACTTGTATGGAGCCTTTACTTGCAAGTATATACAGAAATGGGAAGATTTAACTTAAAAATACCTCACTTTAAGATGGCTGCAATGAGAACTCTTTGATACTTTTAAATCAATGTTCCTGTGTGCAGAATTGGAAAAGGCTGGCTCTAAAATTAAACTGAATAAATGGGGAGATCACCTTGAAGGAACAATAGAAATCTCCAAAGGAGGCGTAGACTTTCTTCTCTCCAGGATGTTAACCTCTGAACTAAAGGCTTCCAAAGCTGCTCCATGCTGATGCCGCTGTGCCCCTTCTGCACCCCCCACACCCTTTACCTTCCGAGCTACCTTGTCAGCACTTACCCTCCCTCTCTTCTCACCCTACACCTACTCCACACCACTCCCCACTCACCCAGGGGGAATTAAAAATGAGAGTCAGGCCAGGAGAAACTAGAAACACACACACACACACACACACACACCAGAATTTGGCAGCTCCCTGTAGGAAGCCAATGTCAGGCAGAGGGAGCCAGCAATTATTTACTCTCCTTGGACTAGAACAAAATTAAGGAATTTAAAACTTTCTTGATCCTCTCTAAGACTCTGTTGAGCTCTGAACGAACTTTCATTTATCTGTTAGAACATATAATCTTGATAGTCTGCCTATTCCAAGTAATACACTTATTAGTTTCTGAAATCAAAGCAGTAGAATGGCTAAGTTTCTCTTGGAAACTCCTATAAAAATTTTGTAAACAAAGAGAAACAGTCCAGGAAAAATGCAGGAATCAGCCTATTGGCTTTCCCAAGCATCCCTGAGGCGCCCCCCAGAAAATGAACTGGCTGACCATGCATACTAGTAAACTATCAATTCTGGCCAAAAGAAAGAACTAGAGAAAGCTACTAAAATTATGAACTTACAGCTCCAGCAGCTAAGCATTCAGGTCAGTCCTTCCCGCAGCCTCTCCAACAAGGGGGAGGGGAGTGAGTGTGCCTCTGCTGTAGGACGCCAGGCCATCTGAAGGACTGTAGGAACGTAAAAGGGATTCAGAAAAGAAAAGAAACAGAAGCAAGCCTGGGGCTGCTATGACGATAACAAGAGGTGGTCCCCCTTCTTCTTACCAGTTCTTCAGAGAAACTAGCATCACACGGGAGACCACTGCTATGGGGCTCGTTACCTGTTCTCAACTAGAACCAAAATGGTAGGAATAACTCATCAAACAACGTCTGTTTTTAAATCAAAACCTATTCCCACCCTAGCTGGTTTGGCTAATGGATAGAGCAGTGATTCCCAAAGTGGGCGCTACCGCCCCCTGGTGGGCGCTGCAGCGATCCAGGGGGGGCGGTGATGGCCACAGGTGCATTTGTTTTAACTTTTTTTGTATTACCTTTCTATTCTGAGTTCAATAAATAGTTTCATAATTTCAAACTTCAATGTTTCTAATTTACACCTTTCTTTACTATATTTTACGAAAAAGGTAGAAACATTAATACATATATCTTTCTGTTTAATTGCTATTAAAATTTAAAAAAAATTAATTTCCAGGGGGCGCTGAGTAATATTTTTTCTGGAAAGGGGGCGGTAGGCCAAATAAGTTTGGGAACCACTGGGATAGAGCATCAGCCTGCAGACTGAAGGGTCCCGGGTTTGATTCCGGTCAAGGGCGCAAGCCTGGGTTGTGGGCTTGATCCCCAGTGTGGGGCGTGCAGGAGGCAGCTGATCAATGATTCTCATCACTGATGTTTCTATCTCTCTCTCCCTCTCCCTTGCTCTCTAAAATCAATAAAAACATATTTTTTTTTAAAAAAAGCACCTATTCCCTACCAACGAGGGACTGTTATAAGGTAACACGTTTTTCACTAGTCAACTCTGTCCCAATTCACTTGATGGGGTGAGACTTTCTTACAACCTGTGATGCCCATATACCCTTTTTTCAGAAAGGCAAAACTTGGAACTAAAGGAATCAGACACTGAGCCAATTGAGAAAATATTGGCTGTAAAAGAACTTCATGGGAGTAAACTGATCTTGGGATGATGTTTGCTGCGATGTTCCTGTGGACTCTGGCTCTTCCAGTGCAGATATCGCCAATACGAAGTTGGCCACTCCTATAAAAATAACTGACAATCCTTGGCCTCTACCTAATATTCATCGATATCCTCTAAGACCTGATGCACTACCTGGAATTAAGCCCATTGTACAAAATTACCCATAATTCCATGTATGAACGCCTGTAATTTTCCTATCCTTCCAATAAAAAACCCAATGGGAATGATGGAGATTTATACAGGATCTCAGCAATAAAGAAAAGTTATTCCCAGATGTCCTGTGGTTTCAATTCTACACACTCTACTCTCAGCCATGCCTGTGGACTGCCAATATTTTCACTGAAAGACTAGATAGAGGCTCAGTGCACGAAATTCGTGCACAGGTAGGGTCCCTAGTGGCTGCCGGCCGCTGGCCATGGCCTCCCTTCCCCTAGCTGCCTGCCACCACTGCCCCCTGGTGGTCAGCGCACATCTAACTCCCGGTTGGTCAAACTCCTGCCTGTGGGGACAATTTGCATATTAGCCTTTTATTATATAGGACTAGAAGCCCAATGCATGAAATTCGTGCAGGGTGGGGGCCCCTCAGCCCAGCCTGCACCCTCTCGCAATCTGGGACCCCTCACTCCTAACTGCCTGCCTGCTCGCTCCTTACCACTTGGCTTGCCTCTCCTTATCGCTGCTGCAGAGGCGGGAGAGGCTCCCGCCACCGTGGCAGCGCTCACCAGCTGTGAGCCCGGCTTCTGTCTGAGTGGCACTTCTGCTGTGGGAGCACACTGACCACCAGGGGGCAGCGCCTGCATTGAGCGTCTTCCCCCCTGGTGGTCAGTGTGCATCATAGCGACTGGTCGTTGTGGTCGTTCCACCATACGGTCACTGGGCTTTTATTATATAGATGTATGAAGTGCCTTTTTCTACACTCCTACAGAAAAAGACAGGCAATATGTCTTTGCTTTCACCTGGGAAGATCTTCAGTTTATTTGGACAGAAATGCCACAGGAATATAAGAAAAATTCCACATATTTTTCTCAGATACTCAAGGCTGATTTAAATAATGTTCAATTTCCCAGAAATTCCTCTCTAATTCAATATGTGGATGACTTGCTTTTATGCTTTGTAATAATATTAGGCTCTCAAAAGGGCTCACTTTACCTATTACATTAGCTAGCCATAAGAGACATAAAGTCTCAAAGGACAAGCTTCAATTCTGTTTGTGCCAAGTAAAATGCCTGGGCCATCTTGTATCTAAACATGGGCTTCTATAAATTTCCCTGAAAGACTCAGAGAAATACCATCCTTTCCTCTTCAAAGAACCCAGAAACAGCTTAGGAAATTTCTAAAGCTAACTGGTTACTGTT